TATATAATTCGCCAACACGCGCTCCTATATATATATATATATATATATATATGGATATACGTATGCATGCGCGTAATGTGCTTGCAGTAACTTGCGTATGCTCGGTAGTGTTTATGCATGCGTATTTTTAAAATATTCGTCGCGTATTTTAAATGGAAAGGTCAATAAGCCTAATGTATTGCTTTTTATAATTTTCTTAGGAGCTAAGGGTGAGAGCTTGCTCAAATATAATTTAATCAAAAATGACGTTAAAAAAAGCAAATAACTACGTGAATTGAGGGGGAGCTGACGGAGAGCTGAGGGGGAGCGGGGGAGCTGAGACTCACTTTTTTTTAATACAACTATGTAATGTAGGAAGATATATATATATATATATGAGAACTTTAGTTACAAATACAGACATTCAGAATGCTTCCATCAGCAAACTAAATTTTAGAACGGGTACCGAAAAAATCCACACTAAGCATAAAATTTTTGCGTACCAAGCATAAGATATACCAGTTATGCTTAATAACGCAGGTTTAAGTGTCCTACTGATACCAATACATGTGTACTAGTATATATTTTTTTGTGACGACTATCAAAAACAATTGTAATAACATGTGGAACCTCTTTTTTCGCTAAAAACTATTTTTTGTGTATCATAAGTGTACTTGTAGTTCTAAATTGACAAAAAACTATTACAAAATGTCATCTACGTAACTTTACAGTGTATATTTTTATAAATTTTAAAAATTTACAATAGATTGTGTACGTACTTATAACTGAATAAATTTTCATGTACGCAACACAATATGTCTAATTCTCAATGTAACTTACTAGCAATTCTGATGTAACTCCTTTAATTTAATGAACATCATTGGGCTTGCAAGATGTAGTTTTATAAATAATCGACTAGTACAATGCAATAAAAAACAAATTTACTCGAGTGGTACAAGACACAGATAACGTTATGATTTAACAAACTACTCATTCCCAAACAATATAAAGAAACTATTTAATTCTTTACATATGTGATAATACAGTACCTCTTTTCCTTTAGTTTCTCCTTTTTCAAACCATTCGACAGTCACACTCTGTTGATCCCAATTGACACCTGAGACTATAGCTGAGTGTACTCTTCCTAAAAATTAAAAAAAAATTACAAACTTGTTTTTGACAATCGTGTTACAGTGGTGAACTTTATTTATATATATANATTTCCATCAGGTCACACGAAAGCGCAACGAAGTAAGTTTAAAAAAAGGACGAAGCTTCGGCGGTCACGCTACTAATTACTTTAGAAAAGAGGGGTGCGTCGATGACTTTTCTATAGTTTTATCGTCTCATAAATAATCAATAATATGAATATATATATATATATATAATTGTGTGTGTGTGTGTGTGTGTGCGCGCGCGCGTGTGCTTGCATGTGTGTGTGTTATTTACATTAAAGTAAAGTACTAAATTTCACGTATGATCATTGCAGATTTTTTTCTGTCACTACCTCTACCCCTTTATTTCCTTTATTTTTAAAAGAAATATTTTTGCTGAAGTATACGAGACTTTCATGCAAATCTCTGAAGCAAAGTCCCCTCTAGATTCTTCGGTTATTTACGTTATTAGTTATTATTTTTAGGTCACAGCAATCATCTTAAATTTAACGAGGCTGGTACAAGGTAAAAAAAAAAGTTCGTTTTAATTTTTTAATTAACCGAAAAATTGTCCATACGAACTATTTAAAACTAGTATAGATTTTACTGGCACATGTTAGCTTTTCTCGCTAAGTAAGTCCATAGAGGTCAAGTCATTATGGAACATATACTGATGGTCTTCAAAATTAGACGACTTGTTTTTCAGGATCCTAGGTACTCATTTAAATAGTAGAATTGTAAAAAATAAGCATTTCCATACTTTGCAGAGCGATTTGAACCTACAACTAATCGAGTTTTTCAGGTTAAAAGACTAGCATGTGAACCTCTAAGCCGTCGAAGCTCTTGTTTGTAATCTATTATTGGAGATAATATTTTTACCTGTTGTCAGGATTTCAGATTTATTTTTAATTTGTCTTCCTTATGTTCAGTAAAATAAAATTAATAAATGTGAAAACTTTTAATGGTCTTTATAATATATATATAATTAACATACAAGAACAATTAAAAAGGTAATAATTAAAAAGGTACAAAAAATTTACTTTTTTTGTTTGTGAGTACAGTTCATCTTTGCATAATCAGTTTATGTACAAACTTAATTATTTTCGCTTAAAAAGATTCATTATGCACTAAAAACATAGTCTTTATGCAGTTTTCATTGAGAAATTTAGGAGTACTTTTTTATCTCACGATTACTTTGAAGTAATCAGACGACTTGATTTACAAATGAAGAATAATTAAATAAACATTAATTATAATTGATTGAAGTGAGTCATAAAAATGGGACTAAAACATAAAATGTTACATTTTAGATACTACATCATTGTTTTTGACTACACAAAAAAGTAAAACTTTTTTGGTATTGCATTGAAGGACGAACAAAAATTTTTATTTACGCCCAGAATAAAATGTCGTATTTTATCTTTATGAACTCTCTGAAGCAGAAAGTTTAAAAACAAAGCATTTCCTTCTAGACTTAAAACAACTTTAATCTTTTTCTAATCAAGCAAGCGATGGCGGATGAGCTCTTCCTACTTCACCTTTATCCTAAGCTCTATCCCCCTCTCACAACTTAAGCATAATACTAATGCAGCCATTTTTTGTTGAGATGACAACATGTTTTGTCAAAGCTAAAAATCTGGCTATTTGGAATTGAAGGCTCCAAGTATTTTTTTTTTATTTTGTAAGGTAAAAAAGTGTACGAATCTGTACCACTCAAAAATTGTTTACAGTATTGTCTTAAAATATATATTTTAATATAAAGCTTCTAGTTATATGTAAAAGACGCATCTTATGTGTCGAGTAGTTTCCGACATCTTAGTAAGAAAAAAAACTTTATATCTTATTGTAACAATCATCCAACATTTTACCTTCTTAGATTATCCAAGAAAAAACATGTTTTAATACTCTGTAACGTAAAATAAATTAGAGTACACAAAAAAAAAACAAACAATTTTTACCAGAAACATTTACAAAATAACATACTTTAAAGCATGAAGTCAAGGAAAAAAATTGATAGGTTTAGATGCACTAGAATTATTACGCTTTTGCAAGTCAATTACCACGACAAAGTTCATATCCACTGCTAAAAGTTTAATTGAAATGTACTAAGATAATTCATACTGTAAAAAAAGTGTAACTAACTGGTGTACACAACTATCACATGACTGTTTTATACTTTTGTTTTCACTGTTAGCTTAAAATATTAGTTTCTGTTGAAAAATCATACAATCAAAAGGGATATTAAACGTTTGCGATTTAAAAGGCATTCAATGATATACGTCTGTTTTACCTAGCATTTCGTAGTAAAACATCTTATAATACTTGAGGCAATAACTTGGTTCTTTGTTTAAATTAAGTAGCTATAAAGTCACTTGTTATGGGGCGTGGGCCAAGCGGATTTGCAAGGCAGAATGTTCGACCCCGACCAGGCCTGTGTTGCCCGGATACCCTCAGCAACAATCCCTGTAAATGGTGTGCGGGTCTCGTCTGCCTAGACACTGGGGCCATGTATCGCGGCTACCTGTACTGTCGTTGCTTCTCGCGACGATTGTAAACACGGTACACGGGAAATCGGACACACTGTGAAATGAACACTTGCTAGCAGTATTTTATAATAAAAGAAATATATTAAATGAAATGCATTCAAATACAACAATTTACTCGCAGATGTGTGTGTGCATGCACGTCGAGCGCGAATGCTCGACGAGCTCGCGGCGCACAATCGCGACACGGGAAGACTGCATAGGCTACTCGAGGGCCGCTGCCTTTCACAAAAGACAACCTGCTGGCAGGTACTTACGGTGATGCCAATATGACTTCGCTGTAGCTGGGACGCTCTCCTGGCGCAGTGCGGCGGCGTCGAGGAGCTCCAGATCAAGTCAACCAGCGTCCCTGTTCACTAAGAGCTGCTGTTCATGGCTCGTCGTCTCGCTGACCTTCAAGCGCGTCATCACTTTCTTCCTTAGCATGCTCACGAAAACAGGGTCACAACACCAGCACTGCGCCAAGACGTCACGTCCAAGAAAAACTTTGAGGATCACTAAACAACAATAAAATCCAAGAAAACGTTGCTTCACGAGCGCTCAAAAGCCTAAGCTAATCTGCTATTCTTTTTTTTTTCTCTCTGGCTCTCCCCCTCCCTGTCTTATCTATCCCCTTTACCCCTTATTTCCCTCTTTCCATACCTGCCTTAGTCTACCGATGATGATTTGACGGTGTCGCACCGTCACAAGTCGAATGCTGCAAAAATTAAATGCTGTTTGAGTTTATGTGATTATTTGATTGAAGATAAGGTTTGAAACTCTCAACTAAAAAAAAGTATGGAACATGTTGCGGTGGTTATTATGGATTCTTATGAGTTGCACAATTTCTAAATCAGGAATTACAAAAAAATTTTGACTCTAGGCAGGAATATTTCCATCAGGTCACACGAAAGCGCAACGAAGTAAGTTTAAAAAAAGGACGAAGCTTCGGCGGTCACGCTACTAATTACTTTAGAAAAGAGGGGTGCGTCGATGACTTTTCTATAGTTTTATCGTCTCATAAATAATCAATAATATGAATAAAGAAATCTATGTGGCAAATCGCACTTAATGTATATAAGAACCCAAAGCCATAAAAAAAAAGACAAGACGAAGCGTTAGTAAAATAAGATATGTATTCAAGTTTAATCTGAAGTGGGTTTCACCCGATAAACTATCTAAGGTGTTGGTTTTTCTTCGAAAAGTTTTATAACTAATAAAACTATAAAGTATTTATTTTCGTAAAAAAATTCTGACTTCACACTAAAATTTGATCGTTTAATTATATCTAACAAATCTTATTTTATATTTATTTAGTTTCAAAATTTAGTTACAAACTTAAGTCTAGTCAGGATTTAGATTTAAAAAAGAAGATACATTTTTTTAATTTGAAACAATGAAATGATAAAGTAATTTTTCAATTACATTCATAAAGGAGGAGATAGAGCGTTATGTTAAATAACAAAAACAGATACAAGCAATAAAAAAGACAACACAGAAATTTTTGATGAAATATCAGAGTATATAGATGGTCACTTTTCAAGCCATATAGAAGCAATTTCTAAAAGTTTTCTCTGTGTAGACAAAGTCATACTGTACTTAACTAACCAGTACATATTTAGATTCAAAAGAAAAGATACATTTTTTTCATTTAAAACAATCAAAGTATACAGTATATTTCCGAAAATATTAATAAAAAAAACGATAGAGCGTTGTGTAAAACAACAAAAACTGATACGTATAATAAAGAAGACAATACATAATTTTTTGATGAAATATCAGAGCATGAAGGTGGTCGCTTTTTAAGCCATATAAAAGCAGTATGGCAATTGCAAGAATTTCCTATGTGTGAACAAACTCATTCTTTTTAACTTATCAATACATATTAAAAATTGATAAAAAATAGTTTTTCAAGAAAATAATATATAGCTATAGAAAATTCCAAAACAGCACTAACGGCTTGGATTAAATTGAATGTAGTGAGAAATTTTGCGAAAAAAATTAGATACGTCACTATTCCAGAATATTACTGTTTTAATTTGACGCTATGAACTTAGGTTAAAATAAAAAAAGTTAGACGTAATTTAACAAAAGGGCGACTGACTACAGTGTCGCCTAAGGGCTTACACATAATAACACGTTTAGAGACACCGATATCGCTTAAGGATTTGTTGAACAAAACTCTTAAGTATATAACATATTTAAGGAAGCTTGTAACGTTATACCACCAGCAATTAGTACTTTAAAACGTCCACAGCCGAATCTTTAACAATTTTAAATTAATAGACGCACCCTCTCTTCTTCGCTGTGCTCGCTCTATAGTACTCCTATCTATCCGCACAAACAGCATTAAAAGGATAAGGCTGTTGACGTTTCTTATCGCCTTTGAGAAAAAACCGTTTCAAAAAAGACACACCTGCATGCAATGCACTTTTATTGCTCTAGATAGAATATTCCATGATAACTCA